CTCTGTCTTAAAGGAAGCTATTTAACTTGGTCAATCCAGGGTTTCCCAAACTCAGGGCCACCTTTGTACCCTCTGTTAAGGGAACATGCGTCTCTCCAGAGTTCATCCCAGCCTGCAGAGGCTTTTCCTCATCTCTAACTGCATGGCCCACAGTTCCCCTGCAAATCCATGCCTAGGAATGGTCCTTCAACAATGCCTTTTTGTTTATAATAGCTTTATTAAGATATTCACAGATAGCTGGGCATGGTGGCACATGCCTGTAGTTCCAGCTCCTTGGAAGGCTGAGGCAGAAGGATCACCTGAACCCAGCAGGTCGAGGCTGCGGTGGCCGGGAGCGTGCCACTGCCCTCCAGCCTGGGCGACAGAGTGAGACTCCAACTCAAAAAAAAAAAGATATTCACAGAGCACACAATTCATTCATTTAAAGTGGAACAGTCAACGGTTTTCAGTATGTCGGCAGAGTCTCACCTCCATCACCGCAACCCGTTCCAGGACCTTTCACCACCCCTACTTCCATCTCCCCACGCAAACACACCCATATCAGAAGTGATTACCTCCATTTCACCTCAACCTCCCAGTCCTACACAACCACTAGCCCCTCTTCCATCTCTACAGGTCTTCCTGTTCAGGACATCTCATATAAGTAGAATCACACCAGGTGTGATTTTTGGTTTCAATTTGAGTCGGAGCCTCACTCTGTTACCCAGGCTGGAGTGCAGTGGCATGATCACAGCTGCCGCAGCCTTGGCCAGCAGAGCTCATGTAATCTTCCCACCTCAGCCTTCTAAGCAGCTGGAACTACAAATGCACCCCACCACACTGGGCTAATTTCTTTGGTTTGTTGTAGAGAGGTGGTCTCTCCAAGTTGCCCAGGGTGGTCTCAAACCCCTAGACTCAGGCAGTCCTCTTGCTTCCACCTCCCAAAGTGCTGCGATGACAGGTGTGAGCCATCGTGACTGGCCAATATGTGGTCTTTTGCATCTGGCTTCTTTGACTTAGCAAGTTTCCAGTGTTTATCAATGTGGTAGGTAGCATGTAATAGTTCTTGTTCCTTTTCATGACCAAATAACATTCCACTGTATGGATGTTCCTCATTTTGTTTACCCATTGACCAGGTAATAAACATTTACATTGTTTTCACCTTCTGGCTATTGTGAACAATGCTGCTATGAACAACTGTGGATACATTTTTGTGGGAGTGTGTTTCCATTTCTCTTGGTTTCTGCCTAAGCATGGAATTGCTGGGTCACAGGGGGACTCTGTTTCATTTTTTGAAGAACTGCCAGACTGTTTTCCACAGCAGTTGCATCAGTCTCCATTCCCACCAGCAGTGAATGAGGATTCCAAATTCTCTACATCCAGCCGGGTTCGGTGGCTCAGTCTGTAATCCCAGCAGTTTGGGAGGCCAAGGCAAGTGAATTGCCTGAGCCTGTGGGTTCAAGACCCACCTGGGCAACTTGGCGAGACCTCATCTCCACAATAAATCAAAAATTAGCTGGGTGTGGTAGCGCATGCCTATAGTTTCAGCTACTTGGAAGGCTGAGGCAGGAGGATCACCGGAGCCCAGCAGGTCGAGGCTGCGGTGGCTGGGAGTGACAGAGTGAAACTCCAACTCAAAAAATAAAATAAAATAAAAAATAAAAAATTCTCTACATCCTTGCCACCATGTACCATATCTTTGTAATTACAACCATCCCAGTGGGTATGGAGCAGCATCTCATTGTGGTTCTATAACAATGCCATCTGATGCCCCATCTTCTGCGTTCCGGTCCACTGTTCCACCCCCAGATGCCTTCTCTTACTCTATACATCCTACCAAGTCATCAAGACCCAGCTAAAATCCTACTGTTTTCTTGGACCATCTGTGACATTTCAAGTGACACTGTGGCACAGCTTCTATAGATACTTCCTGCAGTCATAGGCTTTGGGGCCTACTCAAGTCTTCTCTCTTCAACCAATGAGAGGCCCTTAAGAAGCAGGGTGGGGTCTTATATTTCTTTTTTGTTTTTTTTTTTTAGTTGGAGTCTCACTCTGTTGCCTAGGTTGGAGTGCAGTGGGCACACTCACAGCCACCGCAGCCTCAACCTGCCAGACTCAGGCGATCCTTCTGCCTCAATCTTCCAAGAATCAGGAACCACAGGTGTGCACCACCATGCCCGGATAAATTTTTTTGATTTATTGTAGGTAGACATGAGGTCTTGCCAAGTTGCCAGGGCTGGTCTTGAACCTCTGGGCGCAGGTAATCCTCTCACCTCTGCCTCCCAAAGTGCTGGAATTACAGGCATGAGTCACCATACTTGGCTGTTTTATATTATTTTAGTCCTCGTTTTCTTCACTGCATATCTGCATGTACCCTCAAGACGAGACTTGGCAACTACAACAGGGACAGGAGAAGTGAACAAACCCTCTCTTTGGGTCTCCTCTTCCTTTCCTCCAGCACTGACAGTGTCCTCCTGGAACTCTCAGGAAGGGGTAAAGATCAATATGTAGACCCTTGTACTTTGACAGAGGCCCCCACCCACTCGAAGCATCAAGGGTCCCTGTGTCAGCCACAGGAAGAAGGAAAACCCAGTCCCCAGCGAATCAAGAGAAAGAATCACCGAGCCCAAGGCCACCAGTTATCGTCTCCAAAGACTAGAAGTCATAACTTTAGTTTCTTACACCCTTTGTTTTCTTTTGTTTTTTATTTTTCCGTTCTGTTTTTAGAGACAAGGCCTTCCTATGCTGCCCAGGCTGGTCTCAAGCTCCTAGGCTCAAGCGATCCTCCCGCCTCAGCCTCCCAAAGTGGTGGGATGACAGATGTGAGCCACCGCGCCCAGCCAATAACTTTAGTTTCTTATACCCTTTATTTCTCCCAGCTGTTGAGGAGACTCAAATTCAAAGCACACGATGCTAAACTATGGCCGCTTGAACTACATAATTATTTCCACAGCTACTGAGGAGCCAGGAAGAGCACAACAGACAGTCGGCCAGAGTTGCTAAGTGAATGTGTTCCAGCATTCGAAACTGACAGAGTGCCCCTACAGGAAATACAGCAAAAATCCTCCTTGCATCTGACCAATGGAGCACCTCCTCCTCGGCTCAACAGAGATTCTGCTGGGGCTTCTAAGGCTGCTGGTGTTATATTTCTAGTGCACATTCGTGAGCACAAAATGCTCCAAAAGCTTCAGCAAAATTATTTGGCTACATCCTGGGACCCAGCAGGTAAAATGAGTACAAACTTGAAATCCTTAGATGAAACCCTTAAGGAAGCAAATACCGGTCCAGCTTTACCATCCAGACCCCTTACTCAGCAAATTCATTATCCTAGGGAGGACAGCATCACCAACACCACTCCAGACTCCCCACACACCCCTCCTCCTCCAGTGGGTGTGAAGGCAAGTGAAATAACCCAAGCGTAGAATAGCCGCAGATCCAGCTTCAGGCATCAGAAGGAAGACCAGAGGACTCCAGTCAAATGGATCAAGCTGGAGGCTAGAAGATGCTCAAACTGAGAGAGGGGCCTCAAGAAGCTTTGATCAAGAACAGCGACTCTGACATATCTAGGTGTACTGGCTAAGAGAAGAGAAGGGGATGAAAAATGATGCCAGTGGCATCCGTGAAAGGACAAGTCTTAGTGAGCTGTCAGACTTTTAGCATGAAAGTAGCCAGAACCACGCCACATCCACCTTCTGCTTCAGAACCACAGAGAAACCATCCTCTCGAGGAGGAGAGACAGTCACTGTTCTCACCTGAGGCACAGGTGGACTAAAGTGATTCTCCCAAAGCACAGAAGCCTGGTCATCCCCGGGCCTCCCTCCTCTGTGTCGCATCCATGGCCTCCAGCAGAAACTCAAAGTGTGTGTAACACACACTCAATTTCTCACCCCACCATCTGACCTGAAGCACTTTGTGGCTTAGGAGGCATGTATTTCACTAAGCTGCTGAGCTAAGGGACTCCCGGTCAAGCCCTGATAGCAGATGAATATAGGACATGGTCATTCTTATGACATTAGAGAGGGCAGAGGCTGCAATCATTTCAGCTCCAAACTTTGGGGAAATAAAATAGTCACAGGCCATTCTGTTTATTAGATTTCTCAGTTCTCCAATCTGTGCTTATTTTGAATATGGTCACTGTATAGCTACAATGAGGCAGACCTTTTATATACTGATCTCTAAAGCCAGCAATAAAACACTATAAATCAGTAAGGAAGTCTATAAAACAGGCTTCCCCTCATGGAAACTTTCACTGGGTGAAAATGACACTCTGAAATTCGCTGAAGCACAGACCACATGACATGGGCTTCTCCTCCCATAAAAATCATCAACTCCTCTTACTAAATCAACCTAAACACCTCCTCTTCCCCAAAAGGACTATGCTATGTTAGCTCAACTCGATACTCTCTTCATGTGGCAAGAAAAATGTGGGTGAAATAAGGCAGCATTTTAGGTCCAACTGGGATGCACATTTTCCTAAAAACATTGGTACAAACTATCTTTCTCTGTTGTTCTACACCTGAACAACTATAGCCCATCCCCCAGCTCATCTTCTGAGGAAACAGACCTGAATCTCTCTCTCAGAGCTAGAAAACAAAGAACAGTAATGAGGAAAACTCTTTAAGTGTCTAAACAGAACTCCCTTCCCGGCTGAAAACCAAAAACCGCTATGTGCAGCTGCTAAAGCGAAACTCTATTTCTGCTCCTAAATTCTTGGCATCTTGAGACATTGTCAAGAAGAGATGAAACGCAAGGCATGTATCCTACTGCTCAAAAAAATGAAATAAGTATAAGGTACCACTGCCCTCCCAAGTCTAGGTTCAAGTTCACAAAAATAAGATAAAGATATGAGGAAAGGAGGAGAGAAATCAAACTTGGGCTGCTGTGTTTTCAAGCTGTTTCTTCACCACTCCACTGTGAGCACCAGCCTCAAAAGAAGGCAGAAACTCCCCTTCCTGCCCGCCTGCCCCCCCACCCCCGTCCCCGACTACCCAGGAAAACTCCTGGGCCGAGAGCTTTCTCACCTGGCCATCTGTTTATAGGCTTCTTCTGCCACAGCAAAGATGTGGGGGTCCATGTCTCCCATGTTTTGACCACTGTAGGCGTAGATGACATCTTGTCCATAGATTGGCAACTGTTCATAAGGGTTAATGGCAACAAGCACGATACCTGCAAGCAGACAAGGCAGTCAGATTCTGCCAGCACAATTGCCCTGGCATCCGCTCAGGGCACCCACCATTCATGTACCCCAAAACTAGGATTGAGAGGGTAGCAGAATGAGTCTCAGTCACTCCCTCAGCTCAATCAAGACACATTTGTATGCTTCTGCCCTAGGTCCTGGTGAAGAAAAAAATAAGAGGCCAGGCCTCCAAATACCCTCCAACCTGGAACAAGCACACACACACTCATACTCACAAATGCTCCACACGCTGAGTTCATAAAATAGACACAAGCAAAGTATTCCAGCATCGTAGAAAAGATGTTTAACTCTGCCATCTCAGAACTGAAATCTGGGAAAGGAGTTATTAATTTTTTCATTTGTATTTGTATATGGGTTACATTAACTAAACTATAAATAACCTGTGGAGAATACAATTTATATATCTTAAGGTTTAATCTCAGCTCAACCAATCACTGTGTGATTTTAGCTATTACTTAACCCCTATAGCTTCCTCAACTATAAAAAGGGGACAAGAACTGCATTTACAGGGATGTCCTACAGATAAAATGATTAATCCAGAGAGAAAACACTTAGACTAGTGCCCTATATAGTAAGCATTGTGTGCTTGCTATTTTTATCATCATATCTTTTTTTCCTTATATCTTGTGATCCCCCCGCAAAGAGTACATTGCAATGATAAACTCAAACACATGTTGATCAGGCAATCAGGAAGTCCTATAAGGTTCAGATCACCTTTTATGGATAGGTGAGGAAGGTCAATATTTGAGAATGTAGAAAGAAAAAAATACAGGCCGGGCACGGTGGCTCAAGCCTATAACCCCAGCACTTTGGGAGGCTGAGGCAAGAGGACTGCCTGAGCCCATGGGTTCAAGACGAGCCTGGACAACATGGTGAGACCTCATCTCTACAATTAAAAAAAAAAAAAGCTGGGTGTGGTAGCGCGCACCTATAGTTCTGGCTACTTGGAAGGCTGAGGCAGAAGGATTGTCTGAGCCCAGCCGGTCGAGGCTGCGGTGGCCGTGAGCAGGCCACTATACTCCAGCCTGGGTGACAGAGTGAGACTCCAACTAAAAAAAAAGAAAAAAAGAAAGAAAGAAAAAAATACAAAAATATCTTTGGAACAAGACAGAAATATGTCTTTTTATTTCCCCATATGACCACAGTCTGGATGTCAGAAAGCCTGAGGACTATGGTTCACCAAACAAGCTTTTCCAGCCACTTGAGGAAGAGGCAGCGAGAACTGAAAGGACCATTCCTGGGACGGAAAGTCTCCCATACCATGCTCCTTTCTTGTGTTTAAAGAGAGACACGGGGGACCTGCAATGTAATAAACCAGGTTATTTCTTTTTTTTTTTGAGTTGGAGTCTCACTCTGGCGCCCACACTGGAGTGCAGTGGCCACTCCTGGCCACCGCAGCCTCGACCTGCTGGGCTCCGGCGATCCTTCCGCCTCAGCCTTCCAAGTAGCTGGAACTACAGGCATGCGCTACCACGCCCGGCTGATTTTTTGATTTATTGTAGAGATGAGGTCTCGCTGCCCAGGCGGGTCTCGAACCTGAGGGCTCAGGCAATCCACTCACTTCAGCCTTCCAAAGGCGCGGGATTACAGGCTGAGCCAGAGCCCAGCAAACCAGCTTATTTCAAAGGAAGAGGAAGGACCAGGAGAAGACAGACACACAAGCCCTCTGCTGATGGAAGCTTGCCGGAAAACACACACAAAAAGGCCCAGAACCCTGACAAATTCTATTAATAAGGCTAATCGCTTGGGGAATCCTCTTAGGAACAGCCTCATGGGTTCTGCTGGTTATTAGAGAGTTCTACAAAACTCTCATGGGCTATTTGATTCAAATTTTGATAGTGCACCAAGAACACGTATTTTCCTAAGACATCCTGGCCTCTCCAGAGCAGAAACAAATGCTTCCCGGATAACCTGGAATACTGAGCTGTGGCAGTCTCTCTGAACAGCGGAAGCAGGAGAAGCTGAGTGCTACGTTTGGATAAACATGTGCAGATGCTAGGACATTTCTTACTGGAGATGCCTTTAAAAAATGGAAGCTGAGGAATCATGCATTCTCTTCCCCTAAAAAGGGAGTAGATTTTTTAAAGTCTTCTTATTGAAAAACAAATCTTATTGAAGGCTCTGACAACTGACCGTCTCTTTCAAGTAAAACTCCCACCAGTTGGGTGAAGGAGCTTCTAGGAGGCCCCAGCCCTCAAGCTCTGAAACCAACATGCTCTCCACAGCTCCTGAAGTCTGGCAGAAAAGCTCATCCTCACCTCATAGCTAGCCCGCCAATTCCAAACCAAAGTGGAAAGCAAAAGTGGCAAACCCAGGCCTGAGCATCGCTTATGACCATGAGCAATACCAGGACTCCAAGGAGTGACCGCGACACTCCACAGAGCAGCCCTCTGGCCTCATTCCCCAGCCGGATCTTCAATCTGCCTCTCAAGTAAGAGAGCTCTATTTCGGCCATGACACTTAGCGGTACTCTTACAAAAAGAGAGAGAAAGAAAGCAAGAAACCAACATGAGGGATGCAGGAAACGGAGTTTTAAGAAGTCAAATATAATAAATTCAGCTCTTTTTGTTTTAAGCACGTTATGGGTTTTGCTCACTAATTGGACAAATATTCATTAAGCACCACGTCTGTGCAGACACAGGCAAGTGAGAGGCGCAAGCAAGCCAGGCATGAATTTTCAGGCGTGGGTCTGGCAGTGGGAGTGAGCTGGTCCCCACGTGAGGCAGGGCTCTCCCGCGACTCGCAGGCCGGAGTCCAAACCTATCGCACCACATGGCATGACCCATTTCCTCCTTGGCTGAGCCGTGATTAACACCAATCATCCCACAGAGATGGGGGCAGCGTAATTAAGCCACATTCACTTACTGCAAACCTTCCAAGACTCTCCAAGAAGAGGTACTTACACACGAGAGGGTGAAGTTAGGATTTGTAACCCTGTGAGTTTAACAAGTCTAAAGCTGGTAAGCAGCTTCATACGCACGCAGACCACAGATGCCCCCACTTACCACAGTAAGTGTAGATGTGGTTGGACTCCAGGAAACGGACCTTCAAGTTATGCAGAACTGCAGGCTCGTGCAGATAGCTGAGGGCGGTGAGGTCGTTCTCTCCCACCAGGATATCTGGATTCCGTAAGAAGGGCAGCTGGTTGCTCTGGACACCAACTGGGTATTCCCGAATCTAAAGCAAGCAGAGGACACAAAAAGGCATGGTGATGAAACACTGAGCCTGCATTTGGTAGCTGGGACCCATACCCTAATGAGACTGCAAGGGATGAAGTGACATTTTAAAGAAAGGTAAGTTCAACAAAAGGCCCATGTTCCCGTGAGAGGCCAGTCCAGCTGGAAAATGTGCTAATAACATAATCCCAGGGCATTAAGGTAAAAGACCAACATGAAAAATTCGGGAAGCACAACCAGATTTGAAAGCACGTTCTACTGCTTCTCTGTGAAAAACAATTAATGAGTCATTTTTTTTTTTTGAGTCAGAGTCACACTGTCGGTCAGGCTGGAACGCAGTGGCACACTCTTGGCCACCGCAGCCTCAACCTGCTAGGCTTAGGTGATCCTTGCCCCTCAGCCTTCCAAGTAGCTGGAACTATAGATGCACACTACCACGCCCAGCTAGTTTTGGGAATTTATTGTAGAGACAAGGTCTCACCAAGTTATCCGGGCTGGTCTTAAACCTGCAGGCTCAGGCAATCCTCTCGCCTTAGTCTCCCAAAGTGCTGGGATTACAGGCTGAACCACTGCGCCTGGCCTAATGAGTTTTTAACTCCAGTTGCAACAAGGGTGCTGTTCTTTCTCCCATCTAGGAAAGCTTCCTTGGTTGGCCCTATCTATTGCCGGCGTTTCACCCTCTCCCCCCCAACCAATACCCTCAATTTCTATTTGGATCATCTTGCAACTGACAGACTACCCCTTAGAAGTGGCTTCAAGCGGAACCATCTGTGCATGTATTTCTCCATAGCTTAACTATAAACTCTTCTAGAGCAGCAATTTTGCTTTGTTCTAAATTGTATTAGGCACTTGAGACATATAATGCAGAGAGTGTAGGATTATACATTTTAAGGTAAAATCTCAGAGGCAAGGTGTTGTCCTTGTATTCTTAGCACTTGGACCACGTAAATTCTCAGACAAGTTCACTGACAGGTTACATGTATAACTGTAATGACAAGTATGTGCACACATCTAAGTCTACATATGACACCTATAAAAAGGTAGTGAGTGTGTTTTTAAATATTTAAGTAGGAGGAGTTTGGCTGTGGTGCACCATGTGTCATGGTGTTCTTAAAAACCTCCGAGAAGCATGGGGCAGGGCCTAGACATCTGAAATTTAAAAAACATTCCCAACTAATTCGGAAACAAGTGGCCTATAGATCATATTTTAAGAATTACTGTTCTTTATAGACTTTTTAGAAAATTCTACGGGCACAGACTCAATTTACTGGGATAACAGTCAACTTTTAAGACAACATAGAATTCTGTGTTCCTCCCACACCACTTTTAGAGTGTCTTGTATTAACAAATCTTAAGTTCTATTATAAACCTAATACTTAAAGTACTATGCAGATTAAAAAAAAGTAAGATGAAATCGGAAACAAATGCAAGGACACAGAGTAAATTTGTATATGATAATGTTAAAATTGTAAATAAAAGGTTAAAAGGGGATTTTCAAATAATATTGGGAGGTAAACTAGTTAGCACTTCAGGAAAAAAAATAAATAAGCCACTATTCTTATTCTTATTCCCTCTAACCATAACAGTTTTAGGTGGAACAAACATAAACAACAAAACCAAAAAGAAAAACAAAACCAATAAAAATGGGCAAAATTTTGTGTAAGTTTTGGAAGGAAGAGCTTTTGAAGGATGATGCCACAGCTAAAACCATGTAGAAAAATATAT